AACCCCAAAACCCCAAAACCCCATTAGTCTAAATAAACTCATATTTGTATTATTGAAATATTATAAGAATTAGAAATGTCGCAATTAAAACCATAAAGCTCATAGCAGCAATAATATTAGCAAAAGTAAAATGTCTAATATCACTCGAATCACTACATATTCCCCTAACTTAAGACTGATCAGATAACGAAGCTCTGGAATGGTTACTTGGTTCTATTTATTGTGACAACTATAATTGGATTTGGGATTAAATTTGGGTATTATATTTCTCATGGATATGAAGCACCTTCAAGAAAATTAGTTAAAACTTGGACCAATGTTAAGTTGATTGATCGCAATATGCTGCTTTTACCTCTAATTGCAATTTTATTTGTGAGTTGGACTCTACCTTCCTCAAAACCTATCAAGCTTATTGAACTTAATATTAGAAAGCATTTTATTTGCTTTGTGCTAACCAAATTAATACTTTCAACAATCGTGTTTTATGTCTTTTACTTCCTTTTTGAAGAATATGCAAATGGTTTTGATCCATCAAGCCACCTTATATGCGCTATAATTGCATATGCTAATTGGCTCTAGCTTTGCATATTCCTGAGAAACTTTGACATTTACTTAGATAATAAATACACAAGAGCAATATAGATTATTGCAAGTGTTCTATTCTTTTACCAAATATACAGTTTGGTGTTTACTGTAGCAATATATCATGATACAATGGAGTCTATTCATGCACTAACCTCGGGATTTATTATAGTCTTCTTGATATTTGTTACAGATCATTTTTCTAGCACTCTTTATTAGATCTATCAAATGATTACTTAAGCCTAATTCTAGCATAGAAATCTAATATGGGAAGAAGATAAAAAGAGAATCGTATTGGTTCAACCAATTAATGAAGAGAAAGAGTAATAGTGAAAAATAAATTTCTTAATTAGATTAAAGTTATGAGTTTGTAAATTAATAGTTAATAACTATTGTAAGTGATTTCTGATAAATCAGCAATAACTTAAATCATCAATGAGTTCAAATTTATTAATCTTTGTCTTGCCACATATCATTTTTTATACTCGTTTTTCTCTAGCATCATCCATTCCTAATATCTTTTTCCTGACTGAATCACCTAAATCTTTGTCACTGGGATCTACTTAGGATAGTAATAATCTCAATCTATCCATTTTTGATTTCTTTGCTCTTCTTTTTTTTATGAACTTTGGTTTTATTGGCTCAATTTGTGCTTACTCATTAGCCAAAGTTGGGTTATTGGTATTTTTGCTCTCTTAAAAACTGAAATCAAGTTCATCCCTTGTTGATGCCATTTTAGAACTGATGAAATGCTTTTACTATATCGAGGATAAGCTTTTGCTTCTTGCATGGAATGATAGCTAATCATAGAGTTTCATCTTCTGTGTAAAATTTTAAAACTACTCCTGTAATCTTAGATTATTCTCTGTTTGTTGTTCTTATAATTCCTCCTAAATTATTTCAGAAACATCGATTTCAATATCTCCTGATTTCATTTATTTCTATTTTTGGGGTTTCATGCCAATTAAACCTGGTGAAACAACATTTTTATAATATACTTTTTTTAGGCTTTTTTTCCTTGAAGAGCCCATTTAAATCTGTTAGGATAGTCTAGGTGACTTTGATAGTCTTACTGTTGACTAAGAAATCCCAGAGATATCATTTTTTCTGTTTCCACTACAGAGTCCTTTCTTCGTGGATCTAGTAAAGTCAATTGATTCCAAATTCTTATTTATATTTTTGCTGCTAAAAATTTGACTAAGGAGCTTCTTTCGTCTCTTAATAATATTTTTAAGAATAGATTTATCCTGAGAATCTTAATCGAAAACTACATTATTAGAATTTAGACTTGCATTTACTTTTTTATCTATAGTGAATTATATATTTTAATATGTTGCCATTGCTCTTTCAGTATTTATCTATCCTTCTCCTCTCTTTTATGCTCTGCTAAAAGAACTTCGCAAATTGGATTCATTTGGAGAAGTGTTTCTTTTAAGTATTTCACTTAATCTACTCTAAGACCTTGTTGTCAGACAATCTACTGTATTTCTAGCCATCTCATTTTATCAAATTTAATCATTATTAGCATGTATGAGATTAGGAAAATTGATATTTTATCTAGCACTGATAAGCTAAGGTCACTCAATTTCATATTATGATTTAATCATAGTCTTCCTTATCTCTTCTAAGTTAAAACCTTTTTGATCTCCTTAAGCTATAGTATTTTGGAATTTGATTCTCTAAAATCTTGAATTAATATTCCTATTATTTTTACCTAAGATTTCTATGAGTTTAGAGTATTTATTTTATGCTTGCTTTCCATTTTTTAATTTTACTAAAATTTATATTTTATAAACAGTACCCATGGGGTTTTGGGGTTTTGGGGTTTTGGGGTTTTGGGG